TGGTGTCACCAGGAGCCTTCCGAGGGAGAGGGGCAAAGCTAGAAAGGTTAAGGAGAGGCAGAGGTGGTAACATACTCTTCCTATTCAAGATGCCTGATGCAGCCGTGTCTAGGATGGGTTTACAGAGTCTCAGTGGATGGACAATCCCTCCTGCTGTAGAGCTGGAAGCACGTCTTTGTCACATCCAAAGTGTCATGTCCCACCATGTGACAGCTCCAGGCTCAACTCATGACAGGATACAGAAGCAGATTTCTTCATGTGACCCATCGTACAGGCATTCTGGAGTCATGATCACCACACAAGAGGCCATGGGAAAAGGCAGCGTGTTCCTGGTCTGTGCCTGCTCCCGTGTGCTTGGGGACACCGGTTAGTAGAGGGGGGCAGGAAGCACGGTAGGACGCTTGATCTGACAGGGGGATCGAGGTGCCAGGTCACTACCTGCACGTCTGGGCTCTACAATGAGAAAACGTCATGTTCTGATCCTGGGTAGCAGACAGACCAAAGAAACATGCACACCACAGCCACGAAAGCCTTCCACAACGCAGCGTCTGCCTAGCTGGAAGACAGCTACGTAGCGACGGCAGCAAAGCTGGTGAGTGCTGAAAACACGTTGGTTTTGTGCTTCTCTAGGAGTGGGTCTTTCCCAACAGTCCTGTTGGCCAGATCCCAGGTCCTTTAATGACCTCACCTGGTGCCATAAGAGTACCTGCTGCAGATTGATGGCCCCAAACTCAGGCTAAGATGCTGCAGAGGACGTATGCTTTCCATTTTGCTTAAGTCACTGAAAATGCGCTGGTGGAGAACTAGAACTTAATCCATCAAGAGAAACAGCAGATGGACAGAAGGGATCCAGCTCTAGGGTGCAGCACGAGGGATCCCCCCTGGATCACGCACCCGAGGGCTGCAAGGGAAGGCAGGAACGTCAGAAGATGACCGGCGGAGGGAAGAGCTGCGCTTCAACACAGCCACGGTAGGACTGTGTTCTGGGGGAGTCAGCTACAGTTGTGCAAGAGCACAAAAGCCATTAGAGGAGGGAGTTATAGCCAAGCTTACAAGGCAACATGGTCAAAATAGGATCTGTATCCCACATCTTGAATTACAGATGCATGGATGGTCGCTTCGCACCTCTAGCTTGGTAACAACTTCTCCTGCCTTTAAAAAAAAAAGGTGTTCTTTATACAAGCTGTTGATATTGAAAATTAGATCTCTCACTGGGCTTTGCAGTGACCTGACCAGTTAAAAGGTTGAACTAAACATGTCTTACCTCTTTTTCAGGATTAATAAGCCAACCGACATTTGCCAGTTCCACCACCTCTAAGGAAAGCCTAAGTTTTGAAAGTAGAGGCTTGCTGTAGTTTGATAAACTTGTCCCGTTTCCTCCAGCCACTGCAGCCTGATGACTACAGAGCCTCATGCCTTGAGGACACCCTCTAGCACAGGCTTTACTTGGGAGGCTGCTCATCCTGAGGGACAGTGTCCTGTGGCTCAGGATGCTTCTGAACCTCAGAGGACAGCCAGCTTTAAGTCCTTCAGGGAAGCTGTTTGTGCTTCTGAACCTCAGAGGACAGCCAGCTTTAAGGAGCAAGTCCTTCAGGGAAGCTGTTTACTCTCACCAGACTACAGGGACTTTCATCCACAGCTCATCTGCAAGGTACGACGACACAGGGGCTGGTGGGTCACATCAAAACCACAGGCACACGTCCATTAACTCCAGACAATAACAAATCCTTTGAACAGGTCCCAAAACCCAGCCGAACACTGACAACTTTGAATGCTCGGCCTTCAAGACACCCAACACACGACACCAGTGCCCCTTCTCAGTCCAAGGGTGAAACGCTGCGCTCACAGCTCAGAGCACGAGTTTCTCCGGAGCATCATATGGTCTGCGGTAGGGCCGAGGCCACCCCACCGCCGTGGCTCAGAAACGCAGGCGTTGTCTACTCAAAGGCCACGGCACACACAGCACACTTGAAAAGGCCCCATGAAACCAGAAACGCAGTCCCCCTTGCAGCACCCACTCCTGGTCCTTCGGCCAAGCTCCACCAGAGCTCGGCCTGCAAACGACAGCCACCCTGGGACCCCAGAGCTGCACCTTCTCTGCTCCACATGCAGCAGAGCACTGGATTTACCAAATGACCCATCAAAAAAAACCCCAAATAAACCCACCTATCAGGTGACGGGGCCTGGAAAAAGAAACACGACAGCAAAGACCAGGATACACCCACGGCTGTGTCTGGACATCAGCTTCGGTACAGGTAAGCAGCTGAACAGATCCCCATCAGCAAGGAAGGGAGCGGAAGTTAACCGGGGTTTTAGGGACTAAAATGGACTTCTGGGGAGTAGAGGGAAGCTGACATTCTGAATTCAGCACTGAAAGGGCTAAAACACCAAAGCTCATGGAATCAGCCCAACAGGTCTGGCAGACACAGTGCAGGGTGTAAAGCAGGGCAGGGGAAGGGAAAGAAAATAAAAAAAGAAAAAAATCCTATAACCTAAGGTGACATCCTGTGCAAACAACCCAAAGAAACAACGTCAAATCCACCTGGGGCAAGGAAAGAGCTCCAACTGCCACAGTGTCCTGCAGCCCAAGGAGTCCACAGCCAGAACTGGAAGCAAACTGCATCGCAAAACGAGCGCTCTTGCACTGACACCCGTAAGGGACCCAGAGAGGGCCCAGAGGATCCCCCCGGCGGCATCTCAGCCACACTGGCTGGGAACAGTTACTGCCCTTGCTAGCCCTGACCCAAAATCCAAGCCAGGACTGTCCCTCAGCCTCAATTGGTGTAACTTCAGCCTCATGTAGAGGAAGAAGAGGACACCAAGCCTGCAGACACATCACCCCCTTGCCCCAAGACGGGGCAAGGTCAAGCACAGTTTCCCTGGGGGGAAATGCATTTCCACCTCCGATGCCACAGGAAAGTGGATGTGCCCTGGCAGCCCCGAAGAACAGCAGTGCTTGCGGCTCCCTCACGCCTACATACCTTGACGTCAGCGATGAGAGCGTCCTCATCCTCAATGCCGGTGGGAACGCACTTCTTGTGCAGAGGGAGCGATTCCAGTTTGTCCACGAGGCAGCGCAGCCCCTCCAGCTCAAACTGTGTCAGGTGCACCTTCCTGCTCTTGCGTGGGCTGCCACCATTCGGGTCCCAGGCCTGACCGTTTTGGGAACCCCGGCTGGAGTCGGAAGAGTCTATAGATGGGGTCTTCTTCAGACCTGGCAGGCTGCTCCGGCAGCTCTTGCCCAGTTCATCATAGTCCACATTGGCACCATTGGCTATGGGGCTGGTGAGAATGGACCGCCTTGTGACCGGTCGCCTGGGTTCCTTCCCTGCTGCATCTTCATCCTCCTCTTCCTCTTCCTCCTCTTCCATGTTTACTGAGTCTGAGGAGCTCAGCTCCATATCTGTCATGATAAAGAAAGAGTGAGAGAAGAGCACAGTGGCCAGACAATCACTCAAAGGAGGCATTCAGTTTCTAGAGGAATCCCCCTGTGTCACCAGAGATGCTGGAGCAAGAGATACGTACGGGGGCACGGTGAGAAGAAAGGATGGGGCACGTAGCAGCAAGAAAAGAACAGCTAAAACCCATTCCTGGCCCCTTTCATGGGAAGGTGAGGCACAGGACATGGGAAAACCTCTCAGTGAAGGAGAGCACAAAGCCCTAGACTGTATTTCACAGAATCCTAGAATGGTTTGGGTTGGAAGGGGAGGCCTTTAAAGATCATCTAATCCAACCCCCCGCCACGGGCAGTATTTACAGCCTCTCAGGGGAGAGAAGACAGATTTGCTCCAAGGGTCTTGGGCAGAGGCTGTCCAGCTCTCTCCCACTCTAAAGAAGGGTCTCCGAGAAATCACCTCTTGAACCACTGCTCAGGCCCCACTTGCCTCGGCTGTAAGGAGGCCAAACACTTCTTTTACGAGAGACTCCCTGCACTCCCTGGCGTGTAACTTGGACAGCACTTTAAACTCTGCGTGCAGGAAGGCCCTGAACAGCAAGAAAGCATTACTGCCCCGCAGCCCACAGCGCAGCGGTGGTTACTGCAACTTCCCTCTCCCTCTTCTGTTAAAGGCTCTGCGCGTACCAGCAAGGCGAGGAACTTGTGTGCTGGTTTTGCAGCTGCAAGGAACCTTGCCTGTTGCAAGGGTAAAGGAGGAAGCAGAAGTCTGGCCAGCTTTGACTTCTTGCTCACAGGAAAAGAAAGAAATCGCACCTCCTTCGGCCAGTCTGCAATGCCCTCAGTACAGCAAACAGGGAAAAGGGAGGAAATAACCAAAGAAAACACCTCGTGAAATTGAGGAAGCGATGGTCCCCAAATTCTTACCACACAGCCCTCTGCTGCCCACCACACTGCTGAGACAGACAGTACCCCGGCAGGAGGGTGCAAGAAACCGCTTGGGTACGGGTGAGGAAGGGATAAGGGCTGGACGGCCAACGCAGAGGGCTTACCCATACTGAGCGACTCCTTCTGGAAGTCCTTGGTCAGATGCGAGCGGCTGGTGATGCAGTAGACGTAGCGCTCCAGTACGTACCAACACATCTCGTAATAGAAGGGATAACGGAACTTGTTTGGGACCTGCAAAAGAGGCAAGGGGATCAGCTCGGGCCTCCTCCACCACGGGGCTGCACAGAGATAGCTCTTATTATGGCTGCCTCAATCCAGACCGATCCCCTCCCGAGAGACAGGAAACGCATGTACATGTACAACAGCATCACTCGTGCTTCTGGCAGCCTGATGTAATTCTCCTTGCAGATTAATACAAGAAAATGTGGCAGATGCCTCAGAGCAAGGTTTCAGTTGAAGGTAATGGTTCAAGCCCTCTTCCCATGCCCCAGCACGGCACCCGACAGTATCTGCACGGGCAGAGGGAAAGGGTTGGTCTGCTAAGAGAGGTGTTACCAGCTCTGCTATTTAGCGGAGCGCTATCGGGGCTCTGTCGCATCAGCGCTGGCAATTCACACGCAGGCAGAAGATGCCCCTGTCCCTGCTGTCTGCCTCGCACCTTCCGGAGGCTACACTGCCTGGTGTGGAGCAGGCACAGGCTCCCTTGTCCTAGGTCTCAGCTGCTCTGGATGATGGTCTGACATCCGACTGCTAGCCCACAGGTCCTGCCTGCTGCAGCTCCCTGAACTGCTCTGGAGAGGCCAACAGTCCATCCATCACAGCCCAGACGGGTCCTGAGGCTTCTCTGCAGGTTGCACCCACGTCTCCCCAAGGAATAAGCGAGAGCACCTGCTCGCCAACAGGACTGGCTGCTCAAGACCTCAGGAAGCCTTTGGTTTTAGTCATCTTGAACCGCATCAAGGTCCAAGACCAACACCAAGCAGCAGCATAAGGCAGCCAGGTAAGGGAAGAGGCAACTCGATGGATGCCATGTTGCCACGGCCACGTTACTGCCTTCCTCTTCCCTACGCAGGCAGCCAGGGGAGGTCCCCGTCACACTCGCACCAAGGCTTCCAGACCCCTCGGAAGCCTGGTGTCAGACTGGAGGCAGTACGAAGGAACACAACAAGCCTTTGTGCACATGGCAGGCTGTCCCTCTGCCCAAATTCCTGCCCGTACGTTCCGCAGGC